CTAAAGTTTGTCCATCCACCCTAAAGCTCATGATGACATTTAATTGCCATTGTGACAGTACTGGGAGGTAGGACCATTAAGAGGCAATTAAGAGGTTCCACCTTCACAAAGGGACTAATGCCCTTATCTTGTTATCTCTGGAGTAGGTTCGCCCTCTCTTGTGTGCACATGCTCAGACATTTGTGCAAGCAATCTCTCTCTCTGCCCTTCCACCATGTGATGACGCAGCAAGAAGGCCCTTGCCAGATGCCGGCACTAAGAAGGAAAAAAAAAAAAGCTTTTTATCTGAGGAATATGAGCCCCTTCAAATTATCAGGCCCAGAGCAGTCATGACTCACTCCCCCTTGAGCTAAACAATTACTTCTTGAAGGCACTTACTAGTGGTCTCTAGACTGATGCCAAGTATCCATAAATGCCATATACTGGACACTGTAACTCATACTCTCATTCTGTAGTTCAACAATGTATAGCCAATCACTGATCATTGCTTTCTCTTAAACCAGTGAGAATTCGGATCCAACAACTTCCTATCAGCTCACTCCTTGTTCCCTTTGCCTTCCAAAACCTGCCGGTAACCAAGGCCAATGGAGCCTTCCCAAAGGCAACTTGGAAGTGTGTCCCACACAACTGTCTTTAGTTTGGCTCAAGTAAATGCTTTATTTATTTATTTATTTATTTTTGAGAAGGAGTTTCACTTTATTGCCCAGTTTGGAGTGCAGTGGCGTAATTTTGGCTCACTGCAACCTCCACCTCCCAGGTTCAAGCTATTGTCCCACCTCGGCCTCCCAAGTAGCTGGGATTATAAGCATGCACCACCACACCCAGCTTATTTTTGTATTTTTTTTTTTTTTAGTAGAAACGAGGTTTCACCATGTTGGCCAGGCTGGTCTCCAACTCCTGTCCTCAGGTGATCTGCCCACCTTGGCCTCCCAAAGTGTTGGGATTACAGGCGTGAGCCACAGCACCTGGCCCAAGTAAACTCTTTAAATTACATTTTGTGTCTCAGCTTCTTCCTTTTAGGCCAACAGCACCTTGAACTGTGCATCCTAGCCTCTAAAACTGTGAGCCAAGAAATTTCTTTTTATTATAAATTGGCCAGTCTCCATGCATGCATATGTTCATTGCAACACTATTCATAATGGCAAAGACATGGAATCAACATAAATGCCCATCAATGATAAACTGGATAAAGAAAATGGGGTACATATACACCATGGAATACTATGCAGCCATAAAAAAGGAGAATGATCATGTTCTTTGCAAGAACATGGATGGGGCTGGAGGCCATTATCCTTAGCAAACTAACACAGGAACAGAAAACCAAATACTACATGTTCTCACTTATAAGTGGGAGCTACATGATGAGGACACATGGACACATAGAGGGTAATAACACATGATGGGGCCTATTGGAGGATGGAGGATGGGGGAAGGAGCAGATCAAGAAAAATAACTAATGGGTACTAGGCTTAACACCTAGGTGATGAAATAACCTGTACAACAAACCCATGATGCAAGTTTACCTATATAACAAACTGGCACATGTACCCCTGAACTTAAAATAGAAGTTAAAATAAACAATTAATTAATTACCCAGTCTCTGGCATTCTGTTACAGCAGCACAAAACAGACTAAGGCACCAAGCCACACATGTATAACTTCCCCTTCCTTCCTTTTCCACATTTGCTATATCTACCATGATTCATTTCAAAATTCTTTCTTTTTTCTTTATTTCTTTCTTCTTGATGGCCTCCCTTGCTATATGGGTATATCTTCAGGAGAGGTGAAGAAAGAAAAGGGAGTTAATAATAATAATTTTAAAAAGACAAAATAACTAGATAAATGCAGCCAGGGGTGGTGGCTCACACCTGTAATCCCCAAAGTTTGGGAGGCCGAGCTAGGCAGATCACTTGAGGCCAGGAGTTCGAGACCATCCTGGCCGACCTGGTGAAACCCCGTCTGTACTAAAAATACAAAACTTAGCCAAGTGTGGTGATGCACACTTGCAATCCAAGCTACCCAGATGGCTGAGGCATGTGAATCACTTGAACCTGGGAGGCAGAGGTTGCAGTGAGCCAAGATCACGCCACTGCACTCCAGCCTGCGCAACAGAGAGAGGTTCTGTCTCAAAAAAAGAAAAAATAAAAATAAAAATTAGAACTAGATAAATGAAACTTCTACTCATTCTAACTAGTGTCCCGGGGTACCTCCAAAATATGCTCATGTTGTAACAGCTGTGTTTGAGAAGAGTCATCTGTAAGGCTGGAGGCTGGGGTAGAAAACTCATTAGGGTCTGAATCATACCGCTGACACCCACTGCCGTGTATCTTTGCACTGCTAGACAGTCCTGCCGGCATCCCTCTGGCACGCTATCCTTGTACAACAAAGCTCCCCTAAATCGATAGCCCTATATCCAGTTGGCTATGCTTCAAATCCAAATATTTTGAACTCATTCTCACCACACTATTCTCTAATTCCATTCTCTACGTGTTCGATTCCTGGTTTGACACTTACTAGGCGTGTAACCTTGGGTAAGTCACTTAGTCACTGATTTTCAGTCTTATCATGTAAAAATAGACTTGAGAATAGTATCTACTCATAGGTTTGTTGTGATAATTACATAATGTATTACATATTAGAGCAGTGACTTTTTTTTATTTTTTTTTCTTTTGAGACAGAGTCTCACTTGTTGACCAGGCTGGAGTGCTGTGGCACGACCTCAGCTCACTGCCACCTTCACCTCCCGGGTTCAAGTGATTCTCGTGCTTCAGCCTCCCTAGTAGCTAGGATTAAAGGCGTGTACCACCACACCCGGCTTTTTTATTTTTAGTAGAGAACAGGGTTTCACCATATTGGCCAGGCTTGTGTCTGATTCTTGACCTCAAGTGATCTGCCCGCCTCAGCCTCCCAAAGTGCTGCGGTTACAGGTGTGAGCCACTGCACCCAGCCTAGAGCAGTGTTTTTTTTTGTTTGTTTGTTTTTTGTTTTTTTTTTTGTTTTGAGACGGAGTCTCGCTCTGTCGCCCAGGCTGGAGTGCAGTGGCGCGATCTCGGCTCACTGCAAGCTCCGCCTCCCGGGTTCACGCCATTCTCCTGCCTCAGCCTCCCGAGTAGCTGGGACTACAGGCGCCCACAACCGCGCCCGGCTAATTTTTTGTATTTTTAGTAGAGACGGGGTTTCACCGTGGTCTCGATCTCCTGACCTTGTGATCCGCCCGCCTCGGCCTCCCAAAGTGCTGGGATTACAGGCGTGAGCCACCGCGCCCGGCTAGAGCAGTGTTAATTACATGTTTGCTATCACTGTTGTTCCAGTTCTCCTTCCATCCCTACAATATAGGGCCCTGTCCATAACTGAGAACTTCTAACAGAAGTCACAATGAAAGGAAGCAGGTTATAGCTCTAATTTCAGTGACATACTAAACTACAAGAACCAAGTAAGTCAAAAGCATAAAAGCTATGACCCATTAAAGCTTTTAGGAAAAAAAATGTTATTTTTAGTCCAAGAGAGACTAATAAAATTCTCCAACTCTATATTCTGAAACCTTTAAATACTTTGAATCAATTTTCTTTTTTTTTTTTTTTTTTTTTTTTTTTTGAGACGGAGTCTCACGCTGTGGCCCAGGCTGGAATGCAGTGGCGCGATCTCGGCTCACTGCAAGCTCCGCCTCCTGGGTTCCCGCCATTCTCCTGCCTCAGCCTCCTGAGTAGCTAGGACTACAGGCGCCCGCCACTGCGCCTGGCTAATTTTTTGTATTTTTAGTAGAGACGGGGTTTCACTGTGGTCTCGATCTCCTGACCTTGTGATCCGCCCGCCTCGGCCTCCCAAAGTGCTGGGATTACAGGCTTGAGCCACCGCGCCCGGCCTCAATTTTCTTTCTTTTTTCTTTTTTTTTTTTGAGACAGAGTCTCGCTCTGTCACCCAGGCGGGAGTGCAGTGGCATGATCTCGGCTCACTGCAAGCTGTGCCTCCTGGGTTCATGCCATTCTCCTGCCTCAGCCTCCTGAGTAGCTGGGACTACAGGCACCCGCCACTACGCCCAGCTAATTCTTTTTGTATTTTTAGTAGAGACGGGGTTTCACCAGTTAGCCAGGATGGTCTCGATCTCCTGACCTCGTGATCTGCCCACCTCGGCCTCCCTAAGTGCTGGGATTATAGGTGTGAGCTACCGTGCCTGGCCACTTCGAATCAATTTTCTAAGAGATCTAATTTTTTTTTTCCTAAGGGATCTAATTCCTCATGACATCAAACAAAAATGCAAAAGAGGAACATGTATAATAAATTAAAGTTTTAAGATTAATTAATTAATGTTGGGGGGTGGTTTTGAGACAGGGTCTTACTCTCTTGTCCAGGCTAGAGTATAGTAGTATGATCTCAGCTCACTGCAGCCTTGAACTTCTGGGCTCAAGCAATCCTCCCACCTGAGCCTCCCAAGTAGCTGGGAACACAGGTGCACGCCACCATGCTTAGCTTTTTTTTTTTTTTTTTTGTAGAAATGGTGTTTTGCCGTGTTGCTCAGGTTGGTCTCGAACTTCTGAGCTCAAGCAATCTGCCTGCCTTGGCCTCCCAAAGTGCTGAGATTACAGGCATGAGCCACTGTATCAGGCCTTATTTTTTATTTTTTTAAGACAGGGTCTTGCTCCGTCACCCAGGCTAGAATGCAGTGGCGCAACCTTGGTTCACAGTTGCCTCAATCTCTTGGGCTCAAGCAATCCTCCTACCTCAGCCCCCCAAGTAGCTGGGACTACAGATGCATGCCACCATGCCCAGCTAGTTTTTTTTTGTTTATTTTTTGTAGAGATGGTCTCACTACGTTGGCCAGGCTGGTCTCGAACTCCTGGGCTATCCTCAGCCTCCCAAAGTGCTGGGATTACAGGCGTCAGCCACCACACCCAGCCAAATTGCAGCTTTTGACAAATGTTACGTGTTATCCACCGGAGTAAAAATGGCTATGCACTCTAATTATTTATTTACAAATCTTCATTCTAAAGAAGAAAACACACCTTATCATTGAAGAATATATCTAAGATTGACAGTCCATAATCACTTCGGTCCTCATCATCAGCAACTTCATAGTCTGCCTGATTGAAGAGATGGAAGAAAAGAAAAAGAGAAGTTAAGCTGGTGCCACACATGTGGTGGTGCATACCTGTAGTTCCAGCCACTCAGGACACTGAGGTTGGGAGGATCACTTGAGTTCAGGAGTTTGAGGCCAACCTGGGCAACATAGCGAGATCCCATCTCTTAAAAAAAGAGAAAGTTAGTTAAGCGTCTTCACTAATAATGTTTCATTACGTTTCAAATTCTTTGGTTTGATATCCTCAGAGCCACAGACCAACTCTACTGATCAAGCGGCTACAGCTCTTCTTTGGGAAAGTATGAGGGGGAAGAAGTCAGTTTTTTAAAAGAGGTTAATGAAGTTTTAGAGCAATGCTTCCCATAATACTCTGTATATTACACTGCATCCATTAAAGATATCTAAGGGCCGGGCACAGTGGCTCACACCTGTAATCCCAGCACTTTCGGAAGCCGAGGCAGGCAGATCATCTGAGGCTGGGAGTTGGAGACCAGCCTGGCAAACATAGTGAAACCCCGTCTCTACTAAAAATACAAAAATTAGCTGGGTGTGGTGGTGGGCACCTGTAATCCCAGATACTCAAGAGGCTGAAGCAGGAAGAATCGCCTGAACCCAGGAGGTGGAGGTTGCAGTGAGCCGAGGTCATGCTACTACACTCCAACCTGGGCGACAGAGTGAGACTCAGTCTCAAAAACAAACAAACAAACAAACTTCAGCGCTGGGAGTTCTGGATACTGTGTGGTAATGCAATTAACGGAAGAGAAAGCAAGTCTGATCCTGCGACGGTCCTTCACTATGCCAGCCGGGCAGGCTGTGAGCCCCAATTAGTCAATCAAACACAAATCCAGGTGCTGCTGGGAAGATACTTGCACATGCGATTAAAATCTATAATCAGCTGGCTTCAAGGGAAAGAGATTAGGCCAGATAATCCAGGTGGCTCTCACCTAATCAGTTGAAAGGTGCTAAGAACAGAGACGAATCTTCCTGGAGGAAGAAATTCTGCCTGAGTACAGAGCTTCAGCCCATTTCTGGAGAGTCCTGCCATGCCCCTCCTGACGGCCTGTCCTACAGATTTCAGACTTTCCTAACCAGACCCCACAATTATGTAAGCCAATTCCTTGCAATAAATCTCTTAATATCTCCTCCTATGGGTTCTGGTTTTCTGGTTGAATCCTGACTGATACAGATGCCTTCATTCATTTAATGAGCAAGAAATAGGGCAAACAACCACGCCAGGTGCCATGAGGGCGAAATGAATAAGACACAGTCCCTTCACCTGAGAAGCTCACAGAGCCTGTCATCACCTATCACCAGGATAGTCAAAGCAGTAAGCGTGACAAAATGGCACAGACATTTCTGAACCTACACAACTGCCATCGAAAAAACAGAAACATAACCTGTAACCGCAGTCACATAGCTGTCACCACATAACTACAGGTATCACGACAATATCAGAAGACTGCAACCTAAAATAGAGTTTCAACAATGCAGTTTAGCTATTTTAACATAAGGAAGAATAGTAGGTCCCTAAATTCTTAAAATACAGCGGCTTGGCAAACATTACCCACTACATGAAAACCTATACCCTGGGTTCCATCCCCCGAACTGAGTAGGCATGGCCCAGCACATTGGAACTCTGTCTTCAAAAAGAAGTGGCCAGGCGCAGTGGCTCATGCCTGTAATCCCAGCACTTTGGGAGGCTGAGGTGGGCAGATTACCTGAGGTCAGGAGTTGGAGACTAGCCTGGCCAACATGCAGAAACCCTGTCTCTACTAAAAATACAAAAATTAGTTGGGTGTGGTGGCACGTGCCTGTAGTCCTAGCTACTTAGGAGGCTGAGGCAAGAGAATCGCTTGAATCTGGGAGGCGGAGGTTGCAGTGAGCTGCGATCACGCCACTGCACTCCAGCCTGGAGGACAAGAGCAAACCTCTGTCTCAATAAAAAAAAAAAAAAAAAAGGAAGAAGAAGAATCACCTTATTCTAGCAACAGTGCTAGAAAAGAAAGGACTGGGAGAGATCTGGGGGAAGGAAGCAAACAACAAAACAGCCGCAAATGTTTTTCTGAAAAGAATACATTATAAATATATACTTTAAAGTTTTTAAAAAGCTGTGTTAGAGGAAAATCAAATCCAAATTAAATGATGTAAGACATATAATATATGTCTGCATATAATAAGCACTCAATACATATTTGCTGATAACAATTAGGACAGGCCAAAGCAGAGAGAGGAAGGGTCATAACCCTGGTACAAAAGTGAGAGCTTTTCTGCTAAATTCCAGCAATTTTCGATTGGTCGCTTGCTTCTGAATTTCATAGTTTTGAAATTGTAGGCTTGCCAATGGTACCCATAAAGATTTAGAAACATAAAGTTTCTTTACCTATAAGGAAATCACAGTAATTCTCAAACAGGATACATGAGAATGTTGGAAACTTTATTGAGCATAGTAAATTCCATCCAAAGTGATCATTCTTCTTACACAAACTTTATCCCTTCCATATGCTTCTGGGTTAAAACGTTTTTAAGTTAAGAGCATTGGCCAGTTGAGTGCAGAAAGGACACTTTTCAGGTGGCCAAACAAGCATTATCATCTTAGGGCTAGGCGCAGTGGCTCATGCCTGTAATCCCAGCACTTTGAGAGGCCAAGGCAGGCAGATCACAAAGCTGAGGCAGGAGAATTGCTTGAACCCGGGAGGCAGAGGTTGCAGTGAGCCAAGATCACGCCACTGCACTCCAGCCTGGGCGACAGAGAGAGACTCCATCACAAAAATAAAAATAAAAATAAAAAAAGCATTATCTTTTTTTTTTTTTTTTTTTTTTTTTTTTTGAGACGGAGTCTCGCTCTGTCGCCCAGCCCAGGCTGGAGTGCAGTGGCGCGATCTCGGCTCACTGCAAGCTCCGCCTCCCGGGTTCACGCCATTCTCCTGCCTCAGCCTCCCGAGTAGCTGGGACTACAGGCGCCCACAACCGCGCCCGGCTAATTTTTTGTAATTTTTAGTAGAGACGGGGTTTCACCGTGGTCTCGATCTCCTGACCTTGTGATCCGCCTGCCTCGGCCTCCCAAAGTGCTGGGATTACAGGCGTGAGCCACCGCGCCCGGCCAGCATTATCTTATTTAGTCTGTCATCTTCATACAATTAAAGCCTCAAGTTTCAAAGTCATTCAATGACTACATGTGATGCTCCAAAACTTGAGATGTAATTCTACATAAAATACCACTTTAGACTAAAGGGATTTCTGTCTTAAGAAGACAGTATGACACCAAGACAACTAGTCCCTCCACTCCTACATCATTGCCCAGGTCTAGTTTTTACATTTTCCTTTTTTTTTTTTTTGAGACAGAGTCTTGCTCTGTCATCCAGGCTGGAGTACAGTGGCACAATCTCAGCTCACTGCAACCTCCGCCTCCTGGTTCAAGTGATTACCCTGCCTCAGCCTCCCAAGTAGCTGGGACTACAGGCACCTGCCACCACGCCTGGCTAATTTTTTTTATTTTAGTAGAGAAGGGGTTTCACTATGTTGGTCAGATGGTCTTGATCTCCTGACCTCGTGATCCACCCACCTCAGCCTCCCAAAGTGCTGGGATTACAGGCGTGAGCTACCGTGCCCGGCCAGTTTTTACATTTTCAAAAGCACATGATTGGGTGGGTTGCTCAGTATGGAGATAAACTGCTTACCACTGCATCCAAGAATTCAATGTGCCTCTTTAGAGTGGGTTTGGTATCACAGAACTGCCTGAAGAGAAGTCTTCCTATCGGTTGCTTGTCACAAAGACTGTTATATTCCCTTTCTGGGTGAAGAAAGCAAACAAATATAATCATTACAATCCACCACATGCTGTTCTAAGCCTGTTTTCACTTGATAAAATAAAAGTCAAAAACAGTATCTGCAGTATTATTTTCTTCTTTTTTGTTGTTGTTGTTGTTTTGTGTTTTTTTTTTGTTTTTGAAACAGTCTCCTTCCTCTGTTGCCCAGGCTGGAACGCAGTGGTACAATCTCGACTCACTGCAACCTCTACCTCCTGGGTTCAGGCAATTCTCCTGCTTATCTGTTAAGCATCTAATATCTAGAATATATAAAGAAATCTTATACCTCAACAACAAAAAGAAAATTCAATTTTTAAAATGGATAAAAGATGTGAACAGACATTTCTCTAAAGGTTTATAAATGGCCCATAAGCACATGAAAATATGCTCAACATCATTAATCATTAGAGAAATGCAAATCAAAACACAATAAGATACTTCACACCCACTAGGATTAGAGAAAATGAAAAATAAAGAGGAAAATAAAAAGCGTTGGGAAGGATGTGAAGTAACTGACCACATCCTAGTGGGAATGTAACATGGGGCAGCAGTTTGGAAGAAGAGTCTGGTATTCCTCAAAAAGTTAAACACAGAACTACCCTATGATTCTACTTCTTTTTTTTTTTTTTTTTGTCATCCAGGCTGGAGTGCAGTGGCACAATCTCAGCTCGCTGCAACCTCCCCCTCCTGGGTTCAAGCAATTCTCATGCCTCAACCTCCTGAGTACCTTGGATTACAGGCGCATGCCTCCACGTCCAGGTAATTTTTGTATTTTTAGTGAAGATGTGATTTCACTATGTTGGCCAGGCTGGTTTCGAACTCCTGACCTCAGATGATCCACCTGCTTTGGCTTTCCAAAATGCTGGGATTACAGGCATGAGCCATCGCGCCCAACCCAATTTTTGTAATTTTAGTAGAAACAGGGTTTCACCATGTTGGCCAGGCTAGTCTCAAACTCCTGACCTCAAGTGATCCGCCCACCTCGGCCTCCCAAATTGCTGGGATTATAGGTGTGAGCCGCCGTGCCCGGCCAACAATTCTGCTTCTGAATACATACACAAAACAAGTAAAAGCAGGGACTCAAACAGATATTTGCACACCAATGTTCCTAGCAACGCTATTCACACAGCCAAAAACTTGGAACACCCAATGTCCATCAACAGATGAACAGATAAGCAAAATGTGGTATATCCATGCAATATCCAACTCAACGCCACTGAACTGTACACTTAAAACAGTAATTTTTGTTATGTATATTTTATCATGATTTTTAAAAGCCTAGCACATGAATTTTCATAGCAGCATTATTCATAATAGGCAAGAGTAGAAAACAACTCCAATGTCTATCAACTGATGAATGGCTAAATAAAATGTGATATATCCACATAATGGAACAGTATTCACCAACAAAAAAAGAATGAAGTACTTTAACAACATTATGCTACGTAAAAGACCACGTAGTATATAATTCCCCTTTATATGAAATGTCCAGAACAGGCAAAGACATAGACAGAAAGTGGATCTGTGGTTGTCTAGCTCTGGAGGGAGCAGGACGGAGTGAGGAGTGGCTACCAATGGGTGTGGCGTTTCTTTTTGGGGTGCTGGAAATGCTGTCAAATTGATTGTGGTGGTTTCACAACTCAATATATTAAAAACTACTGAACTATATACTTTAAATGGATAAGCTGTATGGCATATGAATTATATCTTCAAGAAGCAGTTATTTTAAAAACTTGGTGGAGTTAAAACAATGGTGGAGTTAAAACAATGAGGGAAATACTAGCTCCTTTTTACCACCAGAAACTAATCTTGATAAATCAAATACTTCATCTTTCTTTAAGAGGAACTACAAGAGTACCAAAGGAAAGATGGATTGGTTTGTAAAAATCATCTTGGAATAAACGTGTCCTTCCTACAGATAACACAAAGCTCAGAATCTAAGAAAGGAAAATACTGATACATTTGTCTCTATGAAATATTAAAACCTCTGTATGAAAAAAAGACACTGTACACCAAAGGGAAAAAAGCAAAATTATAAATATATTCACATTGGATATAAAATGATAACTCCTTTTATATATAAACAGCTTTTATAAATGAATTAGAAAAGAAAAAGGAGGCTGGGCGCGGTGGCTCATGCCTATAATCTCGGCACTTTGGGAGGAAGAGGCAGGCAGATTACCTGAGGTCAGGGGTTCAAGACCAGCCTGGCCAACATGGGGAAACCCCGTCTCTACTAAAAACACAAAAATTAGCCAGGCGTGGTGGTATGTGCCTGTAGTCCCAGCTACTCCGGAGGCTGAGGCAGGAGAACTGCTTGAACTGGGAGGCGGAAGCTGCAGTGAACTGAGACCTCGCCACTGCACTCTAGCCTGGAGTGCTGAGACACTGTCTCCAAAAAAAAAAAAAAAAAAGAAAAGAAAAGAAAAGAAAGAAAGAAAAGAGAAAGGAAAAATTGAAAAAATCCAATGGAAATGTTCTACCCCATCCATAAGAAACCATTTTTCAAATAACAGTTTAGTAAATATTAAAAATACTGATAACAACCAGTATTAGCAAAAGCATGGCAAAGAAAGCTTGCTACATCCTGTTGGCAGAACGGTAAACTGATACAATCTTTTGGTGGGGGTGATTTAGCAACATCAAAAGTTTAAATGCATGTACCTTTTGAACTGAAAATTCTATCTTTAAAAAATACAGTTATGACTGCTCTATAGAGATGATTCTACATCTGACTTCTTAGGCTCATGTTAGGACCTGTAGCTAACTCTCATTCTTTATAGTCGTAGAGTATTCTGTTATACTGATATACTGTATTTTTATTTGACTAATCCTTTCCTGAAGATCAATAGAAACTTTTCTTGTCTTTTTTCTTTCTTTCCCTCTTTTTTTTCCCCTCCTCGAGACAGGTCTCACTATGTTGCCCAGGTTGGACTCAACCTCTTGGGCTCAAGGGATCCTCCTGCCTCAGTCTCCCAAGTAGCTGCGACTACAGGTATTTGCCACCATGCCTGGCCCAATATTTTTTAAAAACATGCATAGAAAACTGTCTGGAAGGCTACTAAACAATACTTAACAGTGTTTCTTCTGGAGACAATAATCGACTGGGTCGTGGGAAGAGGAATTTTTACTTTTTCTTCAGTTATGTATAGAACAATGAGTATACATATTACTTTTTTTTTTTTTTTTTTTTTGAGACGGAGTCTCGCTCTGTCGCCCGGGCTGGAGTGCAGTGGCCGGATCTCGGCTCACTGCAAGCTCCGCCTCCCGGGTTCCCGCCGTTCTCCTGCCTCAGCCTCCCGAGTAGCTGGGACTACAGGCGCCCCCCACCTCGCCCAGCTAATTTTTTTCTATTTTTTTAGTAGAGACAGGGTTTCGCCGTGTTAGCCAGGATGGTCTCGATCTCCTGACCTCGTGATCCACCCGTCTCGGCCTCCCAAAGTGCTGGGATTACAGGCTTGAGCCACCGCGCTCGGCCACACGTATTACTTTTAAAAAATGTTTTTAATGTGGGCCAGGCACAGTGGCTCAGGCCTGTAATTCCAGTACTTTGGGAGGCCGGTGGGGGCAGATTGCTTGAGCTCAGGAGTTTAAGACCAGTCTGGGCAACATGGTGAGACCCTACCTCTCCAAAAAAAAAAAAAAAAAGTTCTTAATGAAAAAAACCAACAGCCAACTTTATAACTGCAGATCAGAAAATCTAAAGGTTTGTTTTTCTTTCCTGAGAGGAGTAATGAAGATATAAGGAGAATTTATCATAAAACGTTTGAAACAAATACGGAATAACGTATTCCGTATTTGTTTTCAATATTCTCAAGAAAGAATAACATCTAATGAATGGTATAATGCCAGATGTATCATTCAGGCGTAAGTAGGCACTATTTACTCACCAATGGAATGTCTGAGCTCACTGCACTGGCTGACAGGAGGCAGCGTCAATATCTCCCTCCATTTTTTACTACGACCACTTTTTTTACCATATCCTCCTGAATTTGGGAGAAAAAGGCAATTTTTTTTTAAGTCAGAAATATCTAAGTATAACAACTACTTCCACTAATACATCTTATCATTTCTGTTTGAGTGGTTTGGGTACCTATGATGAGTAAAAATACATGCTTATAATGATTTGTCTTATCTGGAAAGCTGCTTGATGAAGTATAAAATTCCCAGGTGATGCAATCTGTCACTGGGTCTGCCATTTAGAAGCCACAGTGAGCCTCAGTTTCCAAATATGTAAACTAGATCTAACATGACATATTGCTCAGGGTTGCTTACAAATATTTATCAAAGAAATATTTACTGAGCATCTACTATGTACCAAACACCTTCAAAGCACTGGGAATATGACAATAAAAAAGACCAAGTCCCTCCCTCACATTCTTAGCGAGGGAGTGATATGGTTTGGCTCTGTGTCCCCACCCAAATCTCATCTCAAATTATAATACCCACATGTCGAGGGAGGGACCTGGTGGGAGTCCTGTGACTGGATTGTGGGGACGGATTCCCCATGCTGTTCCCGTGATAATGAGGGAGATATCACCAGATCTGATGGTTTTAAAAGTGGCAGTTTCCCCTGTGCTCTCTCTCTCCTGCCACCATGTAAGACATGCCTTGCTTCCCTTTTGCTTTCTACCATGACTGTAAGTTTCCTGGGGCCTCTCCAGCCATGCAGAACTGTGAGTCAATTACACCTCTTTGGTTTATAAATTACTACCTGAGGGTAGTATCTTCAGAGCAGTGTGAAAATGGACTAATGCAGGGAGAGAGATGCACACATCAGATAATAAGAGATCAGAAAAAAATAGCTAATCGTATAGTGATAAATACGAAATGAAATCAAGCAGGGTAAAGGTGGAAGGTGCTGTTTTAACTAAGGTAGGATCAGAGAAGACCCCTCTACCAGGGTCACATTTAGGCAGAGGCCTGAAGGATGTGAGGGACAGAGTCTTGGCAAGTGCTGGGAGAAGAGCATCCCATGGCGAAACAAGAATGGTGGAAAAAGCTACACTATAATACTCCAGAAAGATCTTTTAAACAAGCACCATTATTTTCTTTAATGTAACTCAGAGAAATGAGCATCTTCAATCTCAAGCCTTCCGGGCAGCTAAAATTTTACTAAATTTTATCCAGGAGAACATAATGGCTTAGGCTGGGTGACTAAGACTCCATGACCATTTGGAATAATTGGGAAACCAGGGAGAAAGTCACGTTTCCTTGGGAGACGATGAGCTCTGTCTTAAATGCGGTGAGTGTGGAAAATTGTAAGAGACAGACATTTGGAAGATGGGTAGACTGGGATGAGCTCAGAAGAGGCTCAGCTAGAGATACAGACTTGATATCTGCAAAAAAGATAACCATCAAAGATGCAAAAGCTTCTTCCTCAGCCTTAGTTTTGCTCTTCTACTCCCCCGACTCAATATCTCAACTGAGATCATGAGCTCTGGACTCATGTCCCACACCACAAGATGTCCAGAGCACCTGGCGTTCAACATGTTCACCTTAGACTCATTATCTTCCCCCTCAGATCGAGTCCACATTTTTTCTTTTTGTTAATATTTATTTAATAAACATGTAACAACCACCTGCCAATGCCAGAGAATATGCTAAGTGCTGCATCAGTGACAGCCATGTCCCATGTCACTGAAGGGTGGGGAAAGGGGAACCTGTTCCTCCTGTCCCTTCACAGAGAACACAGAAACTCGTTCCAGAGAAGCAGTAGGCACTGAAAAAAGGCTATCATCTTTGGTTATGGGTTATTTTTTTTCAGGGCTATTGCTGGTTCTCCCTTCAGTTGAAGTAAGAACTGTTCTTTGGGATACGCCATTTTTATCTGACCTCTTAAAGGAGTACAGAGCTGAGCTGTCACTTGCCTGATGCAGTATTTTGCCCTCTAGATTCCACAAGTGGACAACAAGCATGATCTACAAGTGCTCCGAGACATGGCTTACGTCTTCAGTGGTGCTTCTGTGCCCAAGCTGCTGAATCATTGAGCAGAGAATAAGTCCCCCTTGGTCGTATTCATATTTCACTATCTCTGCTTTCTCTGGGTCCCTGGACTCTTCCAACTTTATACTACTCAAGTAACTAGCAAGAAACATGGCAGCCTGGCTGCTATGTCCTTCCTTTCCTAAGCCTGACACTGTCTGTAGGCTTAGAACCAGTGCTTCCACCTTCTCAGGAGCCAAGCAGCAAGGCAGGCAGGGCCTGGATGAGGTGGTGCTGGCAGCAGTAGCCAGTGCCAGTGTGAGCCAGGAACAGGTGGGAGCCCCACCCCCTTTCAGGTTGGTGGGGCGGGAGCCCCACACTACTGGAAGTAGCTGCAGCCACCCAGCCACAGCTGCTGACCTAGGTATCCCTGTGCTCTCAGGGGCCCAGGAAGCTCCCCTGCTCCCACAGGCCCGGAAGTGCCTGTTCCCACTGACTGGCCTCTCACTGCTCCTGGCACCTACTCTGATTTTGGATCAAAGTTGTGGCTGAGCCCAGGCACTGTCACGACCCAGCCAGGTGTGTGCACGGTAGGGGTGGTGCTGACACACCAGCCACCTGCCGCCTCAGCCCCCTCCAGACTTTGGACACCAATGAGCATGGCAGAGAGGCCAAGGCGTGGCTTAATTCAGCTCAAGGCAGGTCTGCAGGCACCCCTTGGCACAAAGAGCCTGGGCACCGTGAACAAGGGCAGGAAGCAGACAGGCTCCTGGGTGGAAAGGGGCAGGGTCCCCAGTGAAACCTCACTTTCAAGCCAGGGATAGACTGAAGCCTGAGGGCTGGGCTGCCAGTTCTGCAGACTGGAGTGAGAACTTACGGTGGTTTTTCTGGGCCCGCCCATGGACGAATCAGCATGCACTTCCTCCCCTCTGAAGCTCATAAAAACTCCTGACTCAGCCAGACTCAGGCAGAAAACAGGGCAACCTGCCTGCAGAGAGGTGCTACACACTGTGGGTCTCCTCTCCACTGAGGGCTGTACACTCATCAGGACGACCTGCCTGCAGATAGGAGCTACCCACTCCAGGTCTCCTCTTCTCTGAGGGCTGCACAGATGATGGGATGATCTGCCCGCAGAAAGGAGCTACCCATTTTGGGTCTCCTGAGAGCTGTACTGTCATCTGTCACTCAGCAAAGCACCTCTTCTCCTTGCTTGCCCTCCAGTTGTCTGTGTACCTCATTCTTCCTGGACATGGGACAAGAACTTGGGACCCAGTGAATGGCGGGACTGAAAGAGCTGTAACACAAACAGGCTGAAGCACACCCCCCAACTCACCATGTTGTGGGTGATGAGGAGAGAAGAGAGAAGAGTTGCAGCCCCTTGGGGAGCCCAGATTTAGGAGCTCCCCAAGCCAAAGCTGTGACACCCTCTTTGAAACTCTGTGGTTGGTGGAGCCTCCAAGCTTCTGGGCGTCCCATGTTCCCTGGTGCCCACAGTGGAAGCTGCTTGCAGTATGCTTGGTCTAGCCACAGCCACAGCAGGTAGCCAGGGCCCGCACTGGTGCCTGGAGCTGCCCACCCTGCCATAGCTGACATGCCTGGCTGCTCCCAGTGGCTGGACCCTGCACTCATTTGCTCATGTAACCCTTGCTGCTCTGCACCTGGCTTGCCCTTGGCAGGCATGGGATCTGGACCAGTAGTGAAAGACAAGCACAGCCTGCCAGGCCAAGTGGGCGGAAGGAGCCCAGTGGGCCCAAGCAAAACTCAGGCAAAGCTGCCACTGGCCACAGAAGTTTCCAGCTGGTGAAGTGACACCCTGAGGATCCTGACAGTGGCACAGCCGCTCAGCCCCAGTGGGTTTGTGTTCATGGGTGTGTGGCACTGATGGTGGGGTAGGGTGGCAACAAGAGGTAGGCTGGATGCATCACCCAGGACTAGCATGTCAGGCAAGAGGTGAGCTGTTCTGCTCCTCACAGATGGGCCCAAGGAAGACAAGGCTTCCCATGAGTCCCTGTGCCTCATCTTGGTGGGGTTCTGGGGTATTTGCACATGGCGATCTCAGCATCTAGTAGGCTTGCTATGGAGATTAAATAGGGTAACTTGTATAGAAAGCTACCAGGCCCATGAGGAGGGTTCAGTGTTCCTTCCCTTCCCCTTTAGGGTATGGTTTTCTACATCCACAGAAGATTCCCACTGAAGACTGGTTCCCAGGTTCCCCTCTTGGATGAAGAGGGAAACAAGTCAAGGTGTCAGGCTTTCCTTTTCATCCTGGCTGCTGCCACCCTCAGCCAGCTCCAGGCAGTGAAGGCTCCAGGGAGGCTGGGTGGCCATGGCAGCCCCAGTCATCTTTCCATACTGTGAATCCTGGCTAACAAACTATTTATTCAGAAGACATCTGCTGTGCCTGTCCTGTGTGCCAGGCACTGGAGGGTCAGGCAGCTGGTCATAACAGGATGAAAGCACTCTTGTCAGACCCAAACAAACTTGGAGCAGGGAAGGCACAAAAAAGGGCTCTTGCTTGCATGTCTGAGATAAGAACCATCAGGAGGAGTTTCTAAAATAACCCCACAAGAAATTCTTTCACATCCTTCATGCATCTCATGCTTTTCACGACCTACATTTGGCACATATGCAGACATTTCTGAGACCAGGTTTACCACTAGACTGTTTTTTTTTCTTTCTTGAGATAGAGTCTTGCTCTGTCACCCAGGCTAGAATGCAGAATGCAAGGCTCACTGCAGCCTTGACTTCCTGGACTCAAGAGATCCAGCTACCTCAGCCTCCTCAGCAGCTGGGACCACAAGCATGCACTACCACACATGGCTATATATATATTTTTTGGCTGGGTGGGGGACAGAGTTTTACTGTTGTTGCCCAGGCTGGAGTGCAATGGTGTGATCTTAGCTCACCACAACCTCCGCCTACTGGGTTCAAGCGATTCTCCTGGCTCAGCCTCCCGAGTAGCAGGGATTACAGGCATGTGCCACCATGCCCGGCTAATTTTGTATTTTTGGTAGAGACAGGGTTTCTCCATGTTGGTCAGGCTGGTCTCGAACTCCCGACC